TGCAGCAAAAAAAGGAAAATAGAAGAGTATTTTTTTAGTGTGTGTAAAATATTGTAAAGCTTGTATAGGCCTACTTGCTTTTGTTAGGTGCATTTCTTCGATTTCTTTATAATCATGTGATATATATTCCTTTCACTATCTCATTCCCTTGATTTTTTATTTATTCTCTATTATTGGCGACTTTTTATCACATTTTTATCATCGACCATTTTTTCTCTATCCCTTTCCTTTTTTTCGTTTTATATTCCAAATCTTTTCTACGTCTCTTGCTTTATCAGATGTCAAAAATATGCTTTATGCTTTCAGTATGATATCTGCTTTAGTTTACTTATGCTGATAATACTGCTACGGCTTTTATCGCTACTTCTATGTCATTTCATCACGAAAGCAACAACTTTAGTATTAACAGTAATTAATGTTTCTGTTGTTGCTACTACTACAACTATTAACTATGCCGTAGCTACTACAATAGTAATACTCCTGTTGTTACTATTGCTCCTTGTGTTATTAGTGTCATATTGCTATCACTAATGAACAAGATTACCATATAATTACCATTACTATCCTGTCTGTCATTATCATCATCATTTTCAATACAGTTTTCAATCTTATCGTTGATGTTGTTATTATCTGTAACGTAATGTACTGATTACTGTTATTATAGTGGATGCTGTGGTTATTAGTGTTATCACTCTCATCATTTATTCACATGCTAATTATCATCACTAATGTAAGTGTTCTCATTATCAATCGTCTTCATCATTATCAGTAGTACCAGTAGTGACATTAAAGCCATTGTAATTCTTGTTGGCATTGTTATTGATGTTGTTCTTCTCATCATCATTGTTCATGAATAATATGGCAACTATCGGTTTATTATCATTACTACCATTACTATTTAATTGTTATTATTGTTATTATTGCTTCATTATCATTTGAATCATCTTCATGGTTTTGTCAACAGGAAGTGATAATGAGAGTAATGATGATGGTGTTAATTAAAACGATAATGATTAGGTCTATGGAGAACTGAAGATAATAATAGTGGTAATGATTATAATGATAATGATAGTGATAATGAAAATGATGTATGTTCAGTATGCATATATGTATAATCGTATACCAGCATTCATATACCGCATGTGTATGTATATATGTACGTGCACGTATGTATACGACACATAAACACTAACACATAAAAGTATGCTTATATGTAAACGCATTTATTCATACTAATTAGAAGTCATAAGAATAAAAAAAAATGAAATAATCATCAGCATCTTTATAAATGTCGTCACTATCAGTACAATTCGTGCGATCCAGATTTTCCGAGGCCACATTGGTCCCGAGCCGCTAATGCATAACCCTGGGCTTATCACCTTCACGCCGAAGGTCAGAACTTTGATGTGGTTTCGGCTTCCGAGAACAATGACGCTCGGACTCGTGCTGAATAGGCGTGTTATCTTGGCGTGTGATGCATTGTTCCCGTGTTTATGTCTGGATGCGCACTACTTCGTTTCTTTTGTTATCCAGGTCGGAAAAATCGATATGGAGATTGATAGGGAAAATCGGGCGAACTCATTTTCGGTTGCGTAACTCTGGTTGTCTATCGGCATTGTGGTTGAAGACTTTTTTATATATGTTTAGGTTTATTTATATATTTCCGTTGTTAACCATGCATCTATTCATTCACTTGATCTAATTGCTTGCAAAATTCTTTTGGTGGCTTGACCGTAAATTCAGAAGTACTGACTGTTGTCTTTTCTTCCAGATGGACTGGATTTGGACGCCCTCGACCTGGACGCCTTGGATACTCTTGATTACCTCTTCCCCGACCCGCCCACGCCGCCCACGCCCATGAGGCCATCGTCGCCGTCACCCATGCCGCCCCTCGCAGGGTCCGCCGTGTCGCCGAAGTTAGAGCCTCTTGGGCTCCTCGAGGGCGTCGGCGAGCTTCCGGAACTGGACTTGGCCATGCCCGCCATGGAGGGCCCGTGCGCCGTCCAGGGGGGCGAGGTCGCGGCGCTCGAGGCCTTCCGGGTTCCCGTGGAGTTTCCCGGGAAGAAGCTCTCCTTCTCGCAGGACAAGATCAGCTGCTCTCCGCCCGCGGGCTCGCTGCCGCCCCTAGATCTGTTCCAGCAGCCTGGCCTCCCGCCGCTGGGTGACCTCCCCCCGCCCTCCGTCGACCCGTCCCTGGCGTCGTCGGACCTCTCGGTGGTCGACGTCCCCATGCACGGCGTGGAGACCTGCCCTCCCTTCGGCATCAACCTTCCCCCGGATATGACGTGGGGGGCGCCGAGAGGGGAGGACGTGGGCGGAGGCGGCCTCTTCTCGCAGCTGCTGGAGGACGAGGTCGAGGAGCCTCCGCGGGTACTTAATGTTTTCCTGACGGGGCACGACTACACCAATAAAATCGAAGGCATGCATCGCCCGCCGTTCCCGCAGTGCCCGCCGCCCCGTCCGATGACCTCCCTGCTGGGCGGCGGCCGGCTGCCCCCGC